CAATTCACTTTTCAGCCTGTTACCCTTGACTATGGACAACTGGTTCTCCTGGGCACAGGCTTGCTAGAAAGCTGAATTAAGCCAACAAAATCCCTTAGGGGCCATATTGAACAGGACAGGGACATTTTTTGAATCTAGCTATACTAAAACTAAGGGTAGCCTGAGAGATTCTCACCTAGGGAAGTATTTCTCAAAGTACCTGTTGTACAGATCAGAATCGCCTGGAAAACTTTGTAAAAGTGCAGATATGTAGGCCTGCCTGACCTGAATAAGAGCATCTAAGAATAGGCTCCAGCAATTTACATCTCTGAAAAGCATCCAAGATGATGGTTTGGATGTTCTTTGACTTCCCTGTGAGATTGGTATCATAGAGGACACTTGTCTATCAAATACTGATCTGAACTAATCATTGATGTAACATTTATGGTGAATATACAGGTTTTTATTTTATCTAAGAGAGACACACCACCACTACCCAAAATGAGGAGCAGCAACCAAGTCATGTAAGAGGAAAGAGTTATACTTTTTTTTATATAGCAGGTATGCTGTTTTAATATTACTCAGATTTTACTCACACATTGAAGCAGTCCAACACTAAGAGGTCAGCATAGGTAAAAAACAAATAGGAAACGACATCTGAATTTTAAATTACCTCTCCATTTTCACTGGCTCAATCAGATTTATTTTATTTCAACAAGAATATAAAGAAAGAGGGGACACACCTGGTCCATAAGTGTAGGTCAATTGTCAGCTCTGCCTTTTTCTATAAATATTTCATCCAAGAATGAATCAGAATAGTGTGCCTCTGGATCCATTTTATTCTGGGGGAAAGGCAATAGATGTTGGCTGCAACCTTAATGTATTTTTCCTGGATTTGTTTTCTGTAAAAAGAACTAATCATGGATTATAAAACATCCAACTTTCTGAACTGCTTGAAATGTTACTATTGCTTCAAATTTATAAAGAGCTTTCATGACCTGAATATCTCCATCAAGCAAGCATTTGTTCTACTGTTAAAGACCTACTGAACTGGTATCTGGGAGTTTTATATGTGGGAAAAGGCATATTCCTGGCATGCTGCCTTAATGGAGGTGCACATAAGATACAAAGTCTTGCCTTGGGAAAATGAACTAGAGACTCAACTAGAAAACTTTCTGTTTCAGACCAGTTAAAAATGTAAAATATAGCTACCATAGAGCTTAATTGTACAGTGGTACTTTCAACTTCTGTACCAGGAGACAATTTTTTTGCATTTTCTTGGTATTGGCCTACAGCTACAGCCATATTGGACAGATGTTTTTAACTCTAAATGCAACACAGAATTACCTATCATTTCTTTGCTATGCAGATTGAATATTTTGCATGAACATTCAAAAACGAATGTTTATAGTTTGAACTTCTTATGTTTATTGTTTTCTACCACCAAATGTACTGTCTACAGATGGAAAACTCGGAGTCTTTGATGGGTGGTGAGGAATTGCTCAAAAGAATCAGTTACACACAGAGAGACATATTACATAAAATGCTAGGAAGGCCTAGATTACAGTTATCAAAATATGTATAGGAGCAATCCTCATCTACAAGAAGTGTTTCCGGGATTCCAAATGATCATACTCAACAGCTGGCTATATTTGCAAGACTTGGTCAATGGAAAATACTGCCGCTTTTCTCTCCCTTATGGTTCCCCACCCTCTGTATTGCCATCTTTGTGAAAGCAGAGTGGCTCGATGCCTTATCGTTGCTGCTCCTTATTACCCTCAAATGACAGCAATGAAAGCAGGCAAGGCGATTAAACAGTATGGCAGCCCATTTTTATGAGTTTACCTTTAAAGGCAACCAAGAGAATTTTAGAGTGGGTAGAAGGGTTTTACAACTACAGGGAACTGCTACAGAATATTTTTTTCCAAAGTCAATGACTTTTTCAATATTGTTATCAATTTTGAATAGTTACTTTAAACAATTACAAAGGAAGTTTTTTAAAAAACAAAGCTCAAAACAACTTTTTTTTTTTTTTTTTTTTTTTTTTTACAAAAAAGTGGTTATATGGAAGTTTTAATTCCAAAGATATTTTTTTTTGTTAAAAACTATGTAGTAATCTTCAACTGGAATTATACTTGATATATCATCAAGTAGTTTAAAGCAACTGTTGTATGATACATGTAAGTCTACTTTGGGGGTTTTAAAATATTAAAACATATCGAGCTTGGTCAGAGATAACCAAATATTCTGAATAATGATTAGTATGTACATATTCATGTGTGTATACATGTATGTGTCTATGTATATACAATACATATACTATATACATACACATCTAAAGATTACTAATTTTCAGCAAATTGTCATACATTGAATAATCTTTTGTAATACAGAAGCCACTCTTGGTGTCATCAATTTTCTGGTAATGACTCAGTTAATAAGAGGCTACCAATTCATAAAATATAGCACAGGGGTATTTAGAGGGGAGAATTTCTTCTTCCATGGCCTCAAATTACAGAACTCAAGAGTATTAGAACTAGAATTGGAAGAGGAAATGAATATTGATTTTTTTTGGTTACATCCTTATACGAAATAATTGCAATATGACAAATCCAAGTTTTGTTGGACAAGCACAATATCCCAAAACACAGGATCAGGAAATTAGGCTCAAAGTGTACAACAGATAGAATATTTCAGTGTCCAAAATGAAAGGGTCCTTCGTCATGGGACTGCAGTTAGACATGTTCTCCAGCATTCCTGATAAGCACTTTCTGTTCATGCATTGCAATGGAATCCACTGTTACTCATTTCCAACTCAACATAGGAGGAATGTACTTTCTCACGAAACATGTATATATGTGCATGTGTACACATGTATACATGAGTATACATGTGAGTATACAAACACACACACACACACACACATATACATCTCATTTCTTCTAAGAGAAATCAAACAAAATACAACGTACCAAAATTTACTTTTAAAATTAAGCTACCAGTTTAGTAAAGTGAGCAATATTTATGCTTTTAAATCTCAAGGATCTAAACCTCGTCATACACTACCCAATTCCCCGTTTCTTTTCTTTTTAAATCTATATATATTTTTAGTTGTAGATAGACATAATACATTTATTTTATTTATTTATATGTGGTGCTGAGGATCGAACCCAGGGCCTCACACATGCCAGGTAAGCACTCTACCACTAAGCCAATTCCCCATTTCTTTAGATAATATGACAACAAATAGGTCAAAAATACTTTTGAAAAAAGTTTCTTTATTTATTCATTTATGCAAAGACAGTATCAGAAATAGGTTATAGAAACATATTCTAAGTTTAAAATTAATCTTCCATTTTGAAAGGTTCAGGAGTTTGCCTCTTCTTTCTACCATACTCTAAATACCTCACTCCAACAAAATAGTGGACAAATAAAAGTTTATTTCCTTACTTTTCCTTAAGGTCATATTGGGACAATTAGAATTGACTCTTCAAAATTTAGGTATCATTAATAGTGAGCTAGAGATTTAATAATCACAGAATGACAGCACCAAAAAAAAAAAAAAGGTATATTTAAAAGAACAAATTTCAGGATATTTTCTAATTCTGAGGTTTAAAAAAATTCCAAAATCCTCTTTGGGGATCCTTAAAAGACTCTGGCCGTCAGATCCAGAATGAAAATTATTAAAACTTATAAACCATAATGGGCACCGATGACAGGACCCATAGTAATTATTTCAGATTAGGCATAAGCAGAGTCTCCATATTTGGGGAAAGGGGGCTAATGGAAGGCCAGGAAGGCACTTTAAACTCATTTCCATGGCAGATCAAATGATTCTGATACAACTACTTCCCTTAGGAAGGTATTACCTCACTGCTACCTTTCCCAGGCTTACCCCTCAAACTGCTCCTATGGCTACTTGACTTCTTTAGGTTGACAGTTCTAAAAGCAAACGTCCTGGAAGAACAGGAGTACAGACTAGAAAAACAAGACTGACAACAGAAGCCCCGGTATTCTAGTTGTCTGTAACAAAGCACAATGTTCAATATGGAGACCAGCTAGTCTAGAAACAGATTATTAACTTTGACTCTAGCATGTTCTTGAAATATGTTATTGAAACAACTTTTTTGGTTTAGAAATATCAAAATTACCTTCTTTGACTCTTAGGGACATCTTACTTTACAAAAGGAAATATAGTAGACTAACAAAAAGTAAATAAAAATCTATGTACTCTACCATAAATAATATTTTAAATGTTTTTACAAAAACAATTCCTTTCAGATACTCTGATTAACCTTTAAGTGACGTAAAAAAATTTCAGCATTCTTTAATACCAATATTTTGCACAATTTAAGATACAGCCATTGAGTTTAGCATTTCAAGGAAAAAATAAATAAAAGAAAAAAAATTGAATGTTAACTCACTAAGAAGCTATATACCTAGTAAAGTTTAGTTTGTCTTGGATTCTTTAAAAACAATTAGGCCCAGAATTTTAGTTATCCTAATTATCATCCCAATCAAACAGGGTATGTGTGTGTATGCATGTGTGTATATGTTGTGTGTGTATGTGGATTCTAGATAAAGGATAAAATATTCTGAATAAATCTAAGACCCACTGATTGGATTGTTTGTTTAGAATCTGTTTTACTGGGTTTAGATAAGAAGACTTGAATAAAGATAACTGTATATTGAGTTCCACTGATTAAAAATGCAGTTTAAAAAATGCTGTTTTGTGGTAAATTTTTAGGCAAATAATAAATGCAAAGCACAATAGTGTAAATACTGTACTGTTCAAAGGTACTTGTTGGAGAAGTGAAATGCTTGTATTCAAACTATCAAAATTCTGACCTTTCAAAATAAGTTTTTTAAAACAATTGTTTGAATATGAGTATTTGCTTCTAATCTCTTAAAATGCCAATTCCAAAAAAACCTTACAGATAAATCTTAAGTTATTCCAACTATTTTTTCAATTATTTGAAATTGTTTTTATACTTATTTACTTTCAATTATCTTTTACTTTTAACTATATACTGAACAAAGAACCAATTTCTAAATAAACACCTAATAAAGAACAGTTTCAATGTAAAGTACAACTAATCTAACATAACTTATATAGAAAGTCTGAGTGCAATTTAGAATTAAATTTCTATAGTAGTGAACAACTTCCAGTCTCTTCTTAATATTCAAAACCAGCAACCTTCCCCTGAGACTAGAAAGTTAGCAGAGAAGATCAAACAGATTTAAGCACTGCCCGACTTCTTCTAAAGTGATGCACTCTTTTATCCTAGAAAAGATAGAAATAGTCTTTACTTCACTGAAATTTTCCTATTAACACTATTGGCCTAAAAGAGCTGCAAAATACCTGACATATTTTTTTAAGTTTACATATCATAAATGAGAAAAAGGAGACCCATTGGAAAAGCATTCCTGAACTTTGCTATAACAAATGCACCAAGATTGGCTAATTTTATTAAAATTAAAAAAACAATACCAGTGAACCCAGAAATAAAGAATGCAGAATCAATAATTTTAAGTACTTCTTAATGCAATATCCCAAAGACAGAGGGTAAAAAATACATATAATTCTTAAAAGTATTGTTTTTACTAACTGAATTGCATCTAGTAGAAAGCATAGCTTGAGAAGAACATTATACACCAGTCTGAAATCCCATTTTTAGGTTAAAAGATGTAAGTTTTGGTATGTTTTATCTTATGAAGATAAATAATTTTGTAGGAAGTGAAGAGAAAAAAATTTAATAGTTGTCCTCTCAGGTTGATTGGTCCTGGGAACCTCAAAATACAGGAAGTTCAAATCCTTCATATAAAATAACAATGTATTTGCATATAACCTACGCAATCCTCTGGTATACTTTTTCTTTCTTTGAAGTGCTGTGATCAAACCCAGGGTCTCCACATGCTAAGCAAGCTCTACTGCTGAGCTACATCCCCAGTGCATCCGATATACTTTAAATAATCTGTAGTATACTTATAACAACAAATACAATATAAATGATATGGAAATAGTTGTTACCCTGTTTTATGGAATCATGGCAAAGTCTGTACTAATTTCTATCTCCAATTGGTAAAATTTTAAGATGCAGGATGCCTATAGGGAGGACTGACTTATAAAATGGAAAATTTTCTTTTTACTCTATGTTGCCTACAGAAGTGCAGATAAAAGGAAGGTCTTAGAAAAGAGAAATGGAAATCAATAAACCACTAACAGCATAATATTTTCTTCTCTGTACAATTAGCTTTACTGCGTCCTTTTCCTAGGAATTAGATTAAGTTGTCATATAAAAGAGTGATTTCTAGAAACCATGTAACTGGTCAACAGGGTTGTATCCCAATAGGTTATAGCCTAGAAAAGTGGCCACAATCACTCATATTTTCAGATAGGAAACATAAGATTATAAAGGGGATAGAATTAAGAATGAAGAGTAGAATTTAACATGGAAATAAATGTATTCAAGTGCCTGGATGCGTACAACTTCAATAAAAACAACATTTAGTCAATTTAAAAAAAGTCAATTAAAAGATGTCAGTCAACTGCAGGCTTCCAACTTCTTACTTATAACCCAGAAGAGCATAAAGCTCTGAAGTTCAAAGGGAGGCCTTTGTCTAATACCAGGAGAAAACCATTTGAAGGGTATTTTCTGCTTTCAAACAAATCATTTATGTCCTACCTACTTAAACTTCAGAACTTTGGGCAAGGTAAGCTATTCTTTCTATGCTGTACAGTTCTAAGTAGAATGAAGCAACAAAAGAACATCAACTTTAAAAGCAAAAATGCTTAAGTCCTGTTACAAAAAAGAACTTAATGCTGCTATGGCTCTACTCTTCTGCATTACGTAAGTGCTTTGGTATACCCATTAAAAAGGTTTTAAGTTATATCCTAAGATACCCATTTACAGATAAATCAAAGCTAATCTCCTTCCCTGTTAACACATAAAAGTGGTAGTTAAAAACTTCCCTTTGAATTTAAAATGATGCAGCAATTTTGGACAAATTCTGAAATTCTGGCAGTTCCTCAAAAGGTTAAACAGTTACCATTGCTGACTCCACAATTCCATTCCTAGATATGTATTCAAGAGAAATAAAAATATATGTCCATATGATAACTTCTACATGAATATTCATAGCATTATTAATAACAGCCAAAAGGTTATAAAAATCGAAACATCTTATCAACTGATAAAAGAATAAACAAAACATGGCATATTAATAAAAATTTCTAAAGAACTTATAAGTGCTGTAACATTGACAAACCTTGAAAGTACTTCACTAAATTAAAGATAATCACAAAAATCCAAGTATTTTATAATTCTGTGTATATAAAATGTCTACAAAAAAAGAAAGTAAATTAGTGGCTGTTTAAGGCTTGAGGAAATGTAAGATTTGGGAAATGTGATGGGCTGGGGCTTTATTTTTGGAGTAATTAAAATATTCTAAACTTGATATTGTTAACATATATTTAAATATGTATTAAATATATTTTAAATATGTTAAATAAAAAATATTCTAAACTTGATTGGCTGCACAATTCTGTGAATATACTAAAAACTATTGTATGACAAATTATAATCTCTATAAATATGCTATTAAAGGAAACCTTATTTCCTTACCAAACACAATATTCCTTCTCACTGGACTAATGAGTTACATTTTTTTTTCATATTCCCAGACTCAGAACTAAAAGGACTCTAGAGAATTGTACTGTACATCCTCATTTTCGACTTGTAAAACCTGGAGTCTTAGGTCTGGGCATACAGCTCAGTGCAGAGTTCATGTTTAGCATGTTCAAGGCCCTCAATTCAATCTCCAATATGCGCACATATGTGTGCACTAGCATACAACATGCAAAACCAAATATGGAGTCTTAATAAGAATTAAATTATCTGTCCAAGGTGGATAGAACGATTAGAAAACAGATCTTTCTTAAATTTAAAAATCCACATTTATCATCCACTTCACCAACTCTGAATCAATTTTCATTTCTAATTCAGTTCTTTTTAACTGCTTTAACTTTACCCCTTCTTCCTCTGCACATTGTTCAAGCATAACGTCTGAGCAGTCCATTGCTTTTGTTATCTTTAATCCAATATCCATATGTTAAGTTCTGCCTTCTAAATTTTACTTTTACTAGTTGGTCAAGCCCATGTTTTCTCCTCTCATGAACTCTTTAAATTACAAGTTTCTGCTTGTTCCAAGTCTCTTCCCTTAAAGGGAAACTACACTTTATTAATGTTTAAGCACTACAAGACACACTGCTAGATAAAACCCACTCACAGTGGTTTACTGGATTAGTCAATTAAATGCTAATTTAAGTAATCTCAAAAATGGATATACTATAAAGAGGAAAAGGTAATTTAAGACTAACACATCTACTTTTTACCCTGTGTCATATTCCTTTCATACCTTGAAGTAGTCATCTTGAGTAACAAGAGAGTTTCTCAGTCTATTCTCTGGATTAAATAGACAAGATACCACTGTCTGTATACTTCGGTCCACAGATTTCTGAAACACAAAAGTTCATGGTAATATAAAGACTACTTTTTTCACTGTTAACAGATTTTTGAAAGTTTAGTGAACATTTATGCTTATTTCTAAGAATTCTTATGTGATTCATAATTCTTACCAAATATCAATTACTATGTACATTTTCTCCCAAATTAAAGAATTGTTTCAGAATCCTAGTGATATAATACTAGTTTAAAAGGCTGAAGTTATTAAAACTCCATGATATTTGGCTTAAAGCTTTTAAATTTGTTAGAGAAGAAAATAGGGAACTCTTAATGTTTCAAGAAAAGTATTCAGGACAAAAACCTGATAATGTGATTTCACTATAAGCTATTTTAGCATTTTGTCAACTTTTAAACTGTGCATCAAATCAAGGAATATTTTTTGCTCTGTGGTTCAGTAGTTCTCAACATTTTTTTCCTCATCCACCAACAAAAATGGTATGGTATTGGCATCCACCAACAAATAAATGAAGGATTCTTCCAATGGAATCCCTCAAGGTTATGCTTATTACCAGTGTATCAACTACTTCTACACTTCCACAAAACAACATGTAGCAGAATTCAAGGGTGAGAGTATTGTTATTTTAGGTGACCACTCTAATAATTAAAAACAGATACTACCTACTTCTTCAGTATTTGAATAATTACTACTGCCTCCACCATTCTTGAGAGATGCATTATATATAATGTTATGGAGAGAATACCATATACTATTTAGATAAGTAAATGTTTAAAATCACTTGCAAAAGATTAAAATATAGTTGATGCTAATTCCTCTTTCGAAGAGTAAAGTTGCAAAAACCTGCCTAGCATTTTGCTAAATCACACTGATACAATACTTATTAAACTATAACTCAGAAAACCCTAAAATGATGAAATTGGGATGAGAAAAGGATTGCTCAATCAGAAACTACATATGTATACTGAAACTTTGGGGATGTCTGAAATCTTATTAACCTTTATATTAAATTGCTAAAAACTAATGAATCACTTAAGCTCTAAAGTTTATGGCTTCATCTTTAAATCTGGGCAAAAATGACTGCTTCTTAAGGGGTTATCTTTTAACCTTGAAAAAATAAATATAAAATATACATATCAGTAAACAAAATTAGATATTTGCCTTTTGTGGGCCATTTCCAGAGGATGGAGTAGCTTCATGAACTGAGCATTCATTTGGCAAAACTTCAGCTCCTGGATCAACTTCATTACAATGGTAGTTAACAGCTGTATAGGCCTACATTTGAAATAATAAAAAGTGTAATTAAAAAGATACACAGATACATTTCTAAATAATGTATTCAAAATAATGAGCTGATATCTTAAGGTTTAATGTAGATTCTGCTATGCTATTTCAGAAATTTTGTTTTAAGCTGAATAGCTAAAATGCAGTAGCAAATATCTTAAGGTTTAATGTGGTTCTGCTACACTATTTTTTACCTTTTATCTTAAATTTTCTTTTCAATATTAACATAATAAGAATTAAAAATATAAGAAAAGTAAACTATATTATTAGAGTGCCTGAGAATTCTAACGAACATATCCTTCAAATATCCAATCCTGATAAAAGACAGAAGGTAACAAAAGCTCAGGTGTTTCAGAGGTTAGCACCCACTTTTGTTTTATTCCTTTTCTTATTTAAAACATTAACAGCAAAATACTTCTGTTTCTCTTCAACAGATTTTAGGGGTAGCAAAGCCAGAGGCTGATTTGGGTAAATTAAATGCTAATTCTAAATCTGTATTAATACTACTTTCTTGGATTACATAATTTATCAACAGGTAACTGAGCACTTCTCACATACAGAGCAGCCATGACTTGAGCACACAAAAATTTGGGAAACAAACTGCAGTTTTTCCTATGGGAACACATAACTGGGTGAACAAAAAAGTTAAATGTAACACATAACATAGAGGGGCATTTAAAATATTTATATATACACATGATATGACAAAAGATCAAAAAACATAAAACAAGAAAATACATTTAAATAAAGAATAGGAAGTATGTTTGGCTAATTTATTTTACCGGAGGTATAACATAACTCCTTTGTTCCCCAGCAGGCCACTGCGGTGGCATCTTAAAAAAAGGAAACAGAAATTATTCAACTATTCCTGTACATTTTTACAAATATAGGAAATAGAAGAAAGATGTATGGTTCTTTTTGTTATTTCTACATATAAACCCCACCTTTTTCTCAAATTTCTGGAGCTAGCATTTGGTAATATTCAAAGAATAGTGTTCTATGAAATTATTACTATAGATATGGTCATGAGTCATACATATGCTCATTATATATGGAAAAAATACAGAGAACTACTATTCTGTAGGAGCCAGTGAACATACACAGTGTGAAATGGAATTAGAATTTTGTGCTCTAAAAATTGGGTAATGATTTTTTTTAACCTATCCTCCTAGAAAAGTAAAAGTCAGACTGGGTGCTTCATGTATTTGGCAGCAAAAATGAAAGAATGTGTCTTGAAATAAGAGTTACTAAGTCTTACAGAACAGTTTTAGAAAAAAGTTCTCTCCTAGTCAAAATAACATTACCTTACTTCCAAGTAACATATAAGTAATCTTAAAATACATTTAATTCTAAACTAATTCTATTTTTTCTTGGATTTTTAGGCATACTTCACTGGTTTAAACAATATACTTTTGAGAAATTTATATAAGTAAAAGTTACAATAATATTCTAACATAAGTCATTTTTGTTTTCCATTAAATTACCTGATAATTATAAACAGGCAGCTGATATCCAGTAATAACCTGAACTGGTGAACTTGGATAAGGAGGATATGCCTGAAAAACAAAATTTACAGAAAGAATGGACTAAATAAGGCAAATTTTCTTAAAAAATCAGAATTAAGGAATATTATTCCCAATATAACAAAAATATTAAGAAAACTTAGTTGTATATATATTTCATTGTTTAATTATATATTTTTATATACGTAACAATTCAGGATTCTAAATCAATGACTGGCTTTATGAAGAAGAAAATACTCTTTGCCAAATGTTAGCTTTTTGGGCAGAAAAAGAAGGTCTAAATAACAACCTGACTGGTTTTCCAAGCCTCCACTCACCTCATTTGTATATTTATCCCTACCCCAGAAGTATCTTCTTACATTGGCGACAAGACTTTAAGACAGATTTCCATGCAAGTTAAATTAATATATCTGCTTTTTTGTAATAAAATTTTTACACTGTATTGGATTTCTTGGGTTACTACTGATGGGTAATCTGTAGTACCCCCTCTGGTCTTTATGTTTTTTTCTGTACTTCACTTCTAAAAGTTAAGGGCAGCATAATCCAAAGCCAGAAACGGTTCAGTAAAATGTCTTACGTGCTTCAATGTTTACTGACTGAAAACAAATAGTAGCATACACAAATACACAGAATTGGTAATGGTTCATGATAAATGGTTTCTTGCCTAGCACATACAAGGCTGAGGTTTGATTCCTAGCATAGAGAGACAGAGAAAGACAGAGGGGAGGGAAAAAGAAAGAGAAAAGGAAGTGAGGGGGAAGAAAAGATAAGAGGAAGAGAGAACAAAGAAAGGAAGACAAATAGGGTTTTTCTTCTATTATGTTGTTTAGAACAAAAAAAGATACACTCTATGTTTCAGGTAGATGAAAAAATGTAAACAGAGATATTGTAAAACTATTTTTTTTGTTTCTTTTCTGGCAAAGAAAATATCAAACTGAAGAAAATAAGTGTTATTTCTCACCAATGGCAATAATAAGTACATTAAATTCCATTTTAAATATTAAACAGGACCAGACAATTATATGCCAGAAACTCAGTTTGTAGATAGGGTAAAACACATTAACATTAGATATCTATTCATTCTAGAACTATATTAAGTCCAGAAATCAGTAACTTATGTAAGGAGGTATCTGTAAATCACTACAAATAAAGAATAAGTAGAATTGAAAACTTAAAAAAAAATAAACTAGGCAGGAACAAAATGAAAGCTTCCTTCAAATATTTTAGGATTTATCACAGGAGGAAGAAACTATTCTATATGGCCATAGAGGTTCTCGTATAAAAGTTTATGAAGTACACAGGAGGAGGTTTTAGCTTAGATAAGGAAAAACCCCAAGAATGAGGTATTTTTAACAAAAGTAAGACTCTCAAGTATTCCAACAGGGACTATATTATCACTTATTACAGAAACTATGGATATAATTTCAGAGGGCAAGAAGGCTGAAATAAATAAGAGAAATGTAGGCAACTCTTACCTGAACATACTGAGTTATAGGATTCATCATGGTTGGAGGCTGCATGTAAGTTTCGGTGTTTGGATTACTCCAAACACTCTGAAACTGTGGTGGAGGAGGAGGATTAAAAATCAAAGGACGTGGCTGCACATGATAAGCACCTTTTTAAAGAATAAAAATAAAACAAAACCTATTTTTAGTTTTCTGAAAAGTTATAGATATGTCAACAAGAACAATGTCATTTTTACTCACATAAATTTTGTTTCCTGATTGCAGGGCCCAGTTTCAGCTTTTTACCATGGAAATTTATCTGTGACTGAAAACAAAGCAATAACAAAACTCTAATTTTTATATCTTTCAAGACTTGCCTACATACCAAGTCATTTAAAATTTCTATCACAATAAATGTTGGCAAGGATGTGGGGAAAAAGTTACCCTCATAAATTGCTGGTGGGACTGCAAATTGGTGCAACCACTATGGAAAGTGGTATGGAGATTCCTTGGAAAACTCAAGTTGGAACCACCATTTGGCCCAGTACTCCTCATTATATACCCAAAGGACTTAAAATTGGCATACCTTAGTGACACAGCCACATCAGTGTTTATAACTAATCTATGAAACCAACCCACATGCCCCTCAACAGATGAATGGAAAAAGAAAATGTGATATATATATATATATATATACACACACACACACACAATGAAATATTACTCAGTCATAAAGAAGAATGACTATGACTTTTGCTGGTAAATATATGGATCTGCTATCATGCTGAGTGAAATAAGCCAACCTCCCAAAAACAAAGGCCAAATGTTCTGATGTATGGATACTAACACACAATAAGGTGAGGAGGTAAGAACAGAAGTTTAGTGGATTAGACAAAGGAGAATAAAGGGAAACGAGTAGGGGACGGTAACAGGAAACAGTTGAATGAAGCAGACATAACTTTCCTATGTTCATATATGAATACACTACCAGTGAAACTCCACATCATTTACAACCACAAGAATGAGAGCCTAATTTTAATAAGTTCTACTCCATGTATATGTAACATGTCAAAATACATTCTAGTGTCATGTATATCTAAAAAGAACAAATAAAAAGGAGGGATCCTATCATCAGATAAGATCATAAATATGTATAAAATAAAAATTTGTCACAATGAAGCTACCTTAATTACTTACTATACTAATCAAAGCCAAGAGGTATCAAGTAGAATTTGATCAAAACCCTTTCACTCTGTCTCCAAACCTGTCTGTCTCTATTTCATGAAGCTAAAGTCTCCAAAATAAACAGGTTCTGACAAGTTATATAAGATTACTCTTAAGTTTTGATTTTTGAATAGGAACGGCAGTATATCTTCATATTTTACACAAGACAGTATACTCAGGACTCAACATTAAACACTGTTATCAATAAACTATGTTAAGTTTTCCATAAGACTACTACTTACTTCTACTATCTTCTGCACATCCACGTCATTGTAAAATGAAACAAATCCATAGCTAGAAAGGCAGACAAATGAAATATAAAATCATTACCATATAGTATGGATTTAGAACTCCTAGTTGCCTATGAAATAATAGAAGTGATAATGATAAAAATGAATAATATACTATGATAAATAATTTTAAGATATTATAACAGACCCTCTGCAAATATGGTTTTTTAACCTGATCTATGTCAGAATGTGCTAAGATTAAGGTAGTATGTGAACCTCATTCATTAACAAAAAATTCCTATCTATGTACAAGATAAATTTAAGATACTGTGAAATGTGCAAATAAAGCACTTCTTTGATAAAACTAATGAATGCACTTGTGTGAAATAAATATAGAAAATACTGAAATACAGGGCTGGCGTTGTGGCTCAGTGATAGAGCCTATCACATGTGAGGCACTGGATTCGATCCTCAGCACCACATAAAGAAAAATAAATAAATAAAAGTGTTGTGTCTATCTATAACTAAAAAAAAATTTAAAAAAATACTGAAATACAATCATTAGGAAAATTATTAAACAAAAAAGCTGAGAACAAACTTTTATCCATGACAAATTTAACAAAGCAACAAATTTCATTTATACAAATGTCAGAATACTGTTTTAAAATATTCTTCTCTCATGCTCTAACATGTTAGAGGTCAGATATTCTTGTTGGTTTATAGTAAGCATGTTTCCTCACCCTTTGGACACACCAGTTCGATCCGTGATTATCTTCACTTCTTTTACTGAACCATATCTAGCAAAGAAACTTCTGATTTCAGTTTCATCCATCTATAGGAAAAAGTTTAAGAGTAAAAAGTCAGCATTCAAAATCTTAATTCTACTATACAAGGAGATTTGGTGAGGTGGAAGTATCTTCCAAAAGTACCCCAAACTACCTGTTTGTCAAATATTTTTGGTCCCTATGGGTTAAAAACAAAATAAATTTCAAACCTACATGAACTACAAAAAACCTCAGGTTTGCAATAGGGCCTAAATCCCATAATTCATAAAATATTTTAAAATATAAATAAAATATGAATACAATACCCTAACATCAATTCCACCAACAAAAACGGTGTTTGGCATGATTTTGCCTTCTGGTAAAACATAGCCTTGGCTGGTGGTGGCTGATGAGGACTGGGTGCTGGCCTCTCGGGAGATGGTTGAGTTTGTAGTCTCAGAATTTGCAGCAGACTGTAATTTTGAAAGCAAATATTGTAACTGGATACACAGACAAAAACATACACAATGTGAAATCTAATTTTTGTATTTGAGTATAAAATACTTTGTGTAAATTATTTTCTTTGTAGATTAGTCACCAATACAGCTTAGTTTAGGCTCAGGATTTAAAGTAAGTAAAAGTAGACTGGCATAATATTTTAACCCAAGGACATAGTACTTTCTTAAACTTATTGTTACTCATCACCATTTTTTGTACAATTTTATGGAAAAATTATTGGTTTTAAGTTTTATAACAATACTATGTAAGCTGATATAAAATAGAAAATTTAGATTTATACAAATAAAATTGATCTGTACTGATAAACTTTCATTTTACTAAGTACATTAATAAAAAACATGGTAAATCTTAAAAACCTAAAGTAAACAAAAACAAAAGCTACACACATAAGAAAATAAGGATCAAGGTTTTAAACAAACTTGTTTTGCTTCACCTTTCTAGACACCAAAATTAACATAAATTTTCAACTTTACTTCCCAGTTTAGTACACTTGCCTTACTTTAGAAAGAAATTGTAAAAACATTTGCTCACCTATTATAGCTCCTGCTAAAAAGGGGATTACAAACTTCTTCCCAATACTAAGGATGTTCAAGGCATTGTCCCAATGATAATTCTAATTTTCAGTGAACTGATACATATATATGACGCATCTTTATTGTCAGATACAGAAACCTCTCCCAAACAACCCCCCCCCCCTGTGCATTTATTTTTCTGGATTCTGATCAGATCTCTGTTTTTAGTCTTCCTATGGTAGATCTAAAGCTAATTATAAATTTTCTAAAGCAAAATTCACCGCCAATATTTATGGTGAAGAGGCAAAGATAGCCCAGTGAAACAAAAACTGATTTAGTCAGGAGATCTAGATTCATGTCGCTTACTAGGTTGTAAGCCACTTAACTTGCCAGCTGTGTGTCTCTAGGCAAATTACTGAGAGAATGAAATGAGGTAACATCTGTGAATCCATTTTGTGAAGTATAAAGTAGTATTGCCAATATAACTTAGTGTCCTAATATTCTAATTTATTTTCAATAGTTTTTTTGAAAAGCATCTCTTCTAGTTTTACTATTTAGCTTTACTATTTTTAGATGACTTTAAAAACAACTAACTGGAACTTCAGAAAACTATGACACACCCACTCATCTGGCATTCATTTATGAACTAAATGAACTATAAGATACTAAAAGTTCAAAACAAAGAGAAAGCTATTACATACATACTCGTTTATAAAAGAAACAAAGATGAAAAAACTGTTCAATTAAAAGAATAAAAGGAAAGTGAGTTTTATAGAAATTTTAGAGGTGAAATCAAGATTGTCTAATCACCAAAGTTGAGTTTTTTGTGTCTCTATTCATTTGTTATACTTGCTGTTTTGCATTTCTATTTGAATATTTTCTAACCATACAATGATATTTCATGACACTGACATAGCAAAGAGTAAACATTTCCATTTTTTCCTTCTTCCAATGTCTTATATTTTTAAAATTAGGAATATATTACATAAACCATGTATCTTGGACTTCTGAGGACCCGATTAGATCTATCTTCCCCATAGAATCCCTTCTCAATTAGATCACTCAAAAACCCAAAATACAAAAACAGTGGTTCTGAAATTCTTACAAAATCCCTTTTATCCTCAATCTCCCTTCATTTTTGGATGAACTTTGGGTTCATTTTTTTGACAAATAAACTGATTACAGTACTGTCTCTGTACCATAATGTACAGATGCATTTTAATTTAGAGTTGTAACACCTGGATAGAAAACAATGCCAGATTATAAAGGGTTATGATTCTCAATAAGGGGAGATTTTGTACCCCAGGAGCACTTAAAATATTGTCTGCAGACTTTCCACAGTGAGGTACATTAATATCCCACAATGCAAAGGACAGCCCTCATAACAAAGAAATTTGTTGGGATGTTGCCCAAAATTTGAATAGGATCTGGCTGATGGATTCTGTCACAGTGTCACCAGAATTTTTGAAGAGGAAAATTATTGTGGAGGAATAACTCTTCATTGTTTAGTAAAGTAAGTGTCTTCAGGACCTGTTTCCTTGCTTGAAATATGAGTGTTTTGAAAAGATCTTTGATATATTCTAATTTTCAGTCTATTTGCAAATGTAAAGTGGATACTTGAGATAAGTTGGTAAGGAGAAAAAAAGGCATTGGATATTACAGGGAGTCTGGTTTGGACTTAGGCCTTACAAATTGGCTAACTGCTTCCACCCTTGTATTTACAGAATAAAATTTGTATTTATAGGGGAAAATGGATCAGTAAATACAAAATTCATTTAATTATTTTAGTGCAATGTCTTAAATTAAGGAAGGAACCACCATGTCCTAGTTCTTAGCCAGCAGGTGGCACTCAAAGCTAACAAAGTAAGGAAAACACTCCATTTCAATAATATTCTAACAGGAGGAATGTTTAAACCCCTCCTGTGCATTTATTTATAATTTATATCATCCAAATAAACACTTGGGTCACTTTTGAACTACAACCAAAAACAATCTACAAACACTTTTGCTCATGATAAGATAAAAATTAATGTTAAAGTATAATCTTAACCATCAATAGCACACAGTAATACTGAAAATAAATTACATTAAATGTTATAAGTAATTATTTTTATTAGTTATACCTTCAAATGATTTGGTGGGTTTTTAAAAAATATTTATTTTTTTTAGGTGTAGATGGACACAACACAATGCCTTTCTTTTCTTTTTTTTTTAATGTGGTGCTGAAGATCGAACCCAGGTCCCACGCCTGTGGTAGGCAAGCGCTCTACCACTGAGCCACAATCCCAGCCCTTGGTAGGGTTTGAAATGAGAAATTTTAGGATAATAAGTAAGGGTAAGTGTGGAGGCCATCATATATACAATTCTCATCACAGCCATTTGATATTCCATTATATTTGGACATCCATGACAAAGAAAACTAAAAAGCTGAAAAAAATTATCATTATTAAAGCTCCTGGATGTTTGCACTTTTGACATTATTTAATCCAGTTAATTATGTCTACATAGTAAGCAGCCTGATATCTTTCATACTGACTAGGAAAAAGTCTAACTTGTAGTCTCAAAGTTATATTCAGGGCAATAGGAAGGAACTTATCAAGAGATTAAACTAAGGAAATGAAAACAGAATAAAAACTAAACAAAACCAAAATTTTATCAGGAATAAATAAGCAATAAACAAGTTATCCTGATAAAGATCAGCAAGAAAGCAAACTAATGTATTAGACATGAGAAAGAAGTATGACCATAGGTTCTAAGAATGTTATATGGGAATAAATGTGGAAATTTTGAATGAAATGGCTAACTTTATAAATCTTCACAAAACAATCTTAAAAGAACAATCACTTGAGGATACCTGGATCAGTTTCACTAGTTTTCAAAACCATATAGAAACAATCATTAGTGTATGTGTCTCATGCTCCAAGAAAGCAAAAACAATCGTAGATAGAAAAGGCAGAGGGAGAAAGACATTAAATTCAAATACTTTTCCTAAAATAATTTTTAGAGCCATGTGTAGTGGGGAACCTAGCAGTAATTCCAGATAATTGCGAAGCTGAGGTAGGAGGATCCCAAATTCAAGGCTAGCCTGGGAAACTTGGGGAGACCCTGTCTCAAAATAAAATAAGAAGGACTGGGGATGTAGCTCAGTGGTAAGAGTGCCTGACTAGCTTGTGGGAAAACCTGGTTCAAACCCCATTTCAAGGGGGTAAAAAGAAGGGAAAAATTTTTTCAGAAAAAAAATATTTCTCAATGGATTTGATAAAGCTAACATTATCTAAATAACAAAGCCTCATTAAGATAGCATACCCTTGCCCACTTACAGAGATGCAAAATTAGCACCATATTTTTTTAAAATCCCATAATTAAATAGTTTGTGTTGGAAATTCAAGGATGGTTCATTCCTAGGAAATCTGTTATTTTAATTCATCAGAGGGCTGGGGATGTGGCTCAGTGTTATAGCACTTGCCTAGCATGTGTGAGGCAATGGGTTGGGTTCTCAGTACCACATAAAATTACTAAATAAAATAAAGGTATTGTGTCCATCTACAACTAAAAAAATTAATTCATCACTGAAAAAAGCATCTAAAATGTAGCATTCATTTCCTAACTATTTAAAAAAATGTATAAGCATCTTATTTTCTATCAGTCTAATTCTAACCCATCACCAAATATAGTCCCAAGTTTTCAATTCTGTGAACACAATATTCAAACATTATTTCAAAGTTACACTGTATGACTAGGGGTTAATGTTCAGACAATTTTTATAAGAAGAAAAAAAATGGAAGTAAAAAGGTAGACCCAGAATTTACAAAAAAATAAATTTTAAAAGCTAATAATCAGTGATAAAACTTTACCAATGATTTTTTAAAAGGCACATTAACATCTTCCAGTTGTTAGCTTGGCAACTTAAAAAGTTGTAACTGTCACTGGAAAGGGTGTGGAGAAAAGATCACCTTAAACACAATCAGTGGGAAAACAAACTGGAAACTGCATACCAAGAGTTGCTTGAAAAAACTCATTGTAATTTAAAATAATTATGAAATAAGCATAACCCCAAAATTCCACTTCTGGCAATTTATCTCATGGAATTAATAGTACAAGTTACCAAGATATTTGTTCAGGGATATCTGTTATAGTGTTAACACTGAAAAATTATCCATCCATGAATTCAGGGTAGTAAGGAAAAGTATAAGATTTAACATTATGTATACTTAAAATTATTTTAAATATATCTTTGGATCAATGCCAAATATATTAACGATGTAGGCTGTCAAACAGTATTATATGATATAGAACAACTTCAATAAAATAAAACTTCCCTACCTATATGCAATATGAACATATAAATAATCTAGAAGGGTATACATATGTCAAAATTTACATGGTTGTAAATTTACATGGCTGGGATTGAAGAAGATCTCTACATTTTTTTGTGATTATTTTCAAATGAGTAAATACTTTGTAATCAGAAAAGCAATTATCATTTTCTCACTTGAAAAATTTTAGCACTAAAAGAACTCTTGGTTGATTATTAAATAATTATCAACATGGACAACTACATATTACACAAATAATTATTGCAAATATTTACGTATTTATACATCATTTTCATCCTTGTGATAATAAAAATTTCCTCCCTTTACCTCTAAAATAGAAATAATTATACAAATGAGGATGCAATATGTAATACACACATTTGTGACTTAATGGTCAGCCAATGAATTTACAACAGGTTGTGTGGTGGGGAAAAAACTGCCATTTATAAAAACTCGTACATAGCACACCACAGAATACCTACAAAATGCATGTGTTACTAAAAACTTCCGATTCATCGAGACGAGTAAACCTCTGGATCCAATCTCATGCGGTAACTATGGCGTCAGCCGACATTTTGTGCCTGGTCTGGCCCCACGAGGGCGCCACCATCAGCAGGTCTCCACCAGCCTCTGCGGAGGCGCGAGGAGCCTCAAGGGTCCTCTGGCCCCAGCCCCCCAGCCCCCCAGCCCCGAGCTCGTGGACGGCGCATTCAGGATGGCTTTGTGGGCAGCTCCTCGCGCGAGCACGAAACCCCATCCCACCTCTCATAAGAGTCGCTTCCTGAGGAAGCTGCTGCCCTCCGCGTCCAAATAAGCGACTTTCCCCCGCAGGATCACACCCTGGGCGTCTGGACGCCGCAGGCCCGACGGCACCTCGCGGAGACCGCCACGCCAAGTCTGCAGTCTTTACCTCGCGGAAGGAGCTGCTGCCAGCCTCCACCCGGAAATGGGGGACTGCAGAGGATGGGGTGGGGCCGGAGTGGGGTGCCCAGTGCCCCAAACCTCGGGTGGGCATGAACGCTGCACAGCCTCGTAGGCGGAGGCGGGAATAAGCCGCCGCAGGAAGCCATGGGCCCTGCACGTGGCGGGGGGGGGGGGGGGGGGAGGGGAGAAGGCTCCCAGGGCCTCACGGCCACCACGCCGCAGGCATCCCACCACTCCGCCTGTCGGCCACTCCGAAGCTGGGAGGCCTCCTGGCCCTGCACACCACCACATGGGGCATGTCAAGCAGGCAACCCAAACAAGGAAAGCTGGGGCAGCCCCGCTTTTACTCACGCCCTTCTTCCAAAGGCCCAATTCCCCGCCGGCCATGCGCTGCTCAGGCCTTTCCCTCAACTTACCATGATGGCGGCAGCCAGCAGTTCCCGCCGATTCGGCTCGACGGGGAAACAGAGGCTGCACTTCTAGGCTCCTGAGAGGCCTGCTGGCGCGTCTGCCTGGCCTCTGACCGGCAACGGAGCCAAAGCCAGAGGTGTGAGGAAAAACCAGGGGCCAGCAGCGAGGCTGAGTAGCCCTGGAGGGGAGCGGCCAGGCTGAGGGGCGCCGACGGACTGAGGCGTGGCCTGCGGGGCTCCTGGAGGTGGCTCCTGCGCCGAGTACGGGGGCGCGTGGCAGCCACCTCAGCCAATGGGTGACAGCGCCCCCGCCCCCTTCGGGGGGAGTCAGGGGGGACGTCAGGCCCAAGCCAGGGGGTTTGCAGGGGGTACGCAGGGGGTGCACGTGGGCCGGTGTCAGGCACCCTGGCGAGTACTGTCCTCACACAGTTGTACAGACAGACAGACACACAGATGCAGGTCACCTCAAAAATGTCTTTGAAGCCCCTTCGAAATAAGCATGCCTACTTAAATATATGTTAAAATTAAAAAATAATAATTGTGTCTATACTGTAGCTTCAAAATGGCGTCTTGAACGCGTGAACTTAGATGGATCAAGATTAGCTCAGTTGCCCGGCCCAAACTATCAAAATGCCTACAGAAATAGAAAATGGGAGCAAATTTGTGGGAAACAAGGTAGGAGAAACCAACAGGGCAGACACTGGGATGCTTTTCTGCCATATTTTGAGGTAGATGGGGTTGGATTGGAGGAAATTCCAGACAGATCTGCCAGTATGGCTTTCAGAACCTTCGTTGTTTTGAGAAAGTTATTAAGATTACCAGGTACAGCAGAGTGAACACAACATTTCTTCTAAGCCTTGGGGAGTTTAGATTGTAATGGGAGCTTTTACTCTCTAGGCTTCACAGGAAGACGCTAGGCCCCTGCCTAGAGAATTCTAGAACATTCTTAAGGTTGAAGAAGTAGGGCCTCCAGCAGGGACAAACTGTGGGGCAGTTGATGGAGCCAACCATACAACTTTGGGAACCATTCCAAACACAGGAATAACTGGCTATGACTTTATTTTCAAACTTTAAGAGCTTTCAAAATGGTGGATTTCTATAATAGGAAAGCTTTTATTAGTACAGTAATGCTGGATAAAATAATAACTAACCTTATTTTAAATGTCTTTTTTTTTAACAGCTAAACCCATAAGAGATGAAGGGAAATCAAATAAAAAATGATGATAGACTGAAAACTGAAGCAGTGACAAACTATTTCTTCTATGGCCCTGGATGTGGGGGATGGGTTGTACGATGACCAGTCATATTAGTTTACCTGGGACTTTACTGGTTTTGGTACTGGAAACCACCAACAGCCCAAACAAACAAGAAGAGTTGGTCATCCTCAGTGTGGGCAAGGTGTTATTAATCTCTGTAACTCCAAGCCTAGATGTATACTGGCAGGAGGTAAGGACTTGGAGTAGTGCTGAGTGAGAGCTGGAATTGAGCACCCTGCATAAAGTCAGTGTCCCTGAAAGCCATCATCCTCAGAAGAAGGGTGGACTAGGGAAGGTGGAAAACAGAAAATACCCATGAATGGATGAGGAAACTCTGATGAAAAGAAAGAAAAATCATTTAAGTCTGATTAAATTTTGAAAACTTAGACCTGCATTTCATAAGAGTTTGGCTTTTAAATTTACAGCACTTTAAAATGAAGAAATTGGCCCTATTACCCTATCATCCCTGCCCCCCCCAAACAAAAAGAGCACAGACATGCTGCCTCTGGAATGCCTACAGAAGCAAGCATAAAACCAACTTGGAGGATACTTCTACAACCTTGGCTGTAAAGTATTCTCAAAGAAAAGGACTCTTTAAAGATAAGCTCACGATAAGAAATTATAAAGCACTCTTTACCATGAGTGAGAATCATGCAACAAAGAAAGTTAAAATGTCAAAAACTTACAGGAAAAAGCTTTTTTGCGTTGTGTTTTCTTTTTCTCATATCTTCCTCCCCTCCCCATAGCTTATTTGGAGTAATATGTTAGGTATATTTTTGAGTAATTATTTGAACATGTAAACTTAAAATATATTTACTCTCTTTTTGCTTAATGCAAAGGCCTCAGCATATTTTAACTCTGCACACCCCTTTCCCAATTTACATTATTCACTATTTTAGTTTTATTCTGTTTTCCTCCTATAAATTAGACATGTTTTTTAGATCTCACCCACATATAAAACAACATTTTGCTTATCATTTCTTTGCATTTCTCAAATCTTTCTGCATTATTTTCCGTGGGCCTGTAGTAAATTCTTAGGATTTCCTTGAATGACAGCATGAGATGATAAATTCTTGGGTTTTTTTCCTACCTGAAATTTTTGTATTGCCCTTATTCCTTCAAGATAATTCTACTGGATGTATAATTCTAGGTTTACAGTGAGGTTTTTTCCCCTCAGAGTATTAAACATATTATTCTGTTATCTTGTGCTTTCTAATGCTACTGAGAAATCTGCTGTCAGTCTAATTGCTGGTTAGAAAATGTTCTTCTGTGGTGTTCTGAAGTTTCACAATTGTGTGACTAGAATGTGGAGTTTTAAATTTTTTTTTCTCACTTAAAGAGTTTTAGGGCTTTCTGGATGTGTGTATTAACTTTCAATAATTTTAAAAACTTTCATCTATTTTCTTGTCAAAGATTAACTGGTTAAGGAATTTACCCTCTTTTTCTCATTTCATTTTCCAAAAGTGATTCTTAGCTATTTGTTTTAATCATGAATTTTTCAAAGGTTGGAGGTGCTTTTTTGAAACCTAATGAAATTTTCACTTCATGGAGGAAAAGAATGGTTGCTTAAAGTCAAAATTAATTGTAACTATTTCAGTGTGTTAAGATTAGTAGCATAATTCATTTAGGTTCAAAAATAAAGATATTGCTTCCTTATCCTTCAGAGATTGATAGTAGAGGAAGAAAAAAGGCTGCTATTTTAAAATCTCTGCCTGTGTTCACAAAGCCTAGGACTTTAACTCAAAGGCTTACTTAACTTACTTAAAGGTATAGGCACTCTGGAACTTAATTCATTTGCAGATCATTTTCATTATTTTTCGTGTGTCTGGTCTGAATAGCAAAAAAAGTTGTTTTACCTATTTTTAAATGAATTACTGTTATTGTAAGCAATAATATTTGTGAAATTGGAGTCATTGTGTTACTTTCAATGCACCTTAAAATTATACAAATATAGAACTTACAACAAGACTAAATTTACAACAATGTGTATGCACCTCTTCAAATCACTTTTTCAGGGCAATTGATAACACTTTTGGAAAACTAGATTAGCAGAACTCTTGAACTAGTTTTTAGATATGCAGAGTTAAGGCCAAAAGACTAAGAGGTAGGGTGTCAAAGTGTTCTGCAATTGTTCAAGAGTAATTGAATTTCAAGGGGAAAAAGCCAAGCAAGGCAGAGAAAGTGGAACTCTTGGATGTAGAGAAAAGAAATAGCCTTGCAAAATGACAAGAAGTTGGAGACTGCAGTTACAAGTGCTATCCCAGTACCTTGCAATCATTTGGGGAGCATTTAAAAATTCATATGCTCATGCTTCACTCCAGACCAACTAAATTAGATGAGGGCGAAACCCAGATATCACTAGTTGTTGGGATTTTTTTTAATGTGTCTCAAATTACTCTTACATGCAGCCAAGTTTGAAAGTGGATGCTGTAAAATCTTTTTCTCAAAGTGATTCTCAGACCAGTGACTTCAAGTCACTTGGGTACAATATAACCTCAGGCCTTACCGTGGACTTATGTTGAATCAGCTGCATTTTAACAAGATTTTCACATGGCTCACATTCTCATTGAAGTTCAAGAAACATTGACAGAGAGAGCATGTGTCATAAACAATTTGCCTCCTTGGATTGAGAATCTCTGTGTGTTGAGAGACTACTTTTCCAGTCTCTCTTGCAGCTAAAGTCTGGTCATGTGCCCACATAACACCAATGAAATGTATCCACCCTAAATGTTGAAGAGAAGACTAATGATGCCTTAAAGCAGGCTCTGTGGAGAGTACAATTTGGAAAGAGGTGACAAGAGCAGTAGCAGACATTGCATCCAGAGCTGTCGGTTGTGCAAATTGATGTAATTTAGTGCCCGAAGGAGTGGCTGAGACTTCTTCACTGGACTAGTCCTGCACTACAATTTTGCCTGTCATTACTGGA